GGAATATGATGTGGCTGGACAAAATAACTTTAGTAGCTGATCAGCGGTTAAGTGCCCGCAACGACAGTGAAAATAGGCAGAGCCTGTGGAGAGAACGAAAGCTAAATTAGCCTGATACATAAGCAAACTGCCAAACCCTGTAAAGCACAAACAGTAGTAGAGTAGATAAAGAAGAGTGACCATGGGATTAGTCAAGACTATCGTAAATACTAAGAGATATAGGTTTATATAAGAGTAGGGCGAAGCTTCAAAAGATAGGGAGACCAGTATATATAACCTTTGTTTCGGCATAAGATTGAAGAGAAATGACGTGTTGAATCAGATCTTGAGATAAGACAGCTCAGAAGAGTTAAAGAACAATTTATCTTGCAAACTTCTTATGCCATGCATTTTTACTTCGGCTAGTACAAGAAGTCCTTCCTATAAATAAACAAATATCGTCGCAGTTCGAGATCACGAAATAATGTCATGTCCGCCTCCGGATTAGCCAGATGAGTCGGACAGCATTGAAAGTTGTGTTGTCAAGTGATCCATCCAAACAAAGTGTATACGATATCCATCTGTGAAGCAAATTATACTAGATAAAAGGAAATTTTCTTGAAACCTAAAAAGTTATCAGAGCGATGTGATTGACTCTTATCGAATTTAAGCATTCATAAATAAACGCACCTGTAATACGTTTGTACCTTTTTTCTGTTAGGAAAGAAACAGAGTTGTTGCTATCTACTCCGTACCGTTACAATAATATAATACCGAATCGAAAGCTAATTATTGCGTCGTCTAGTGATCCCAAAGTAAGATTATCATAAATAATTTATATTTTTGCATGAAAAGATTTCGCAGTGGAGAGAGTTAGGCTCTCTCAGCATAGTCACTCTCTGTGAACTAGCAGTCAGGCTGAGCATATATATGAGATGTAGTTTTGAAAACGCATTTATAAACGAAGGCTAAGAATATAATGCATAATTACGTCCGACTTGAAATAATGTTTCCTAATTTAGCAAGCCAAAGAGTGACTCACTACGAACAAGGTCCGCGTCTAATGGATGGACGTCTAAAACTTCTGTACTGACTAGATGCTCCCAGGAGTCACCGGTATTTGGTTGGCGAGGCACGCAAGCCATGGTAACGCCAGCTGTCTCAGAAGTATTGCAAGTGGCGCCAGAAGAAATAATGAAACCATTTGATCTGGTAGTGGTGCAGAAGTCTGAGCGGCCACGCGATGAGGCCATTCGAGGTTTAGAGGATGCAACAAATTGCAAGAGCCTTGGGAAATCTGTGTCGGATGGACAGTCGAAAGGAGACAAGGTTACCTGGCAGCGAAGACCCAGACCCGTCTCAGTCTCTGGTTGGGAAACCTGCACCACAAGAGTAAGGAACAATAACGAAAGGGATAATAAAAAGATCAAGTCGAGAAATACAAAAAAAACTTAGGTGGATAGAACTATTTAAGCTCCTTTGAAGAAGAGAGATTAACTGCAACATAGATAAAATCGAGATATAGATATCCCCCATCAAGCAAGGTTGAACAGTTCATATCAATAGTTTAACAAAAGGACTGACAGTTTACCGTTTACTTTCATTAAGTTTCCTAAATATAACTATCACTCATCAAAATATTCTTTAACGAACCCAGGACATTGACGCCTTTATAAGAGCAATAATGGAATCCATCTCTTTTCTCCCTAGTAGTTGTATGGTGTTCCTAACCTATTTACTGTTAAGCATAAATTTTCTTCGTAGATAAT